TTGATAAATTTAATTAAAAAATAATAAATTAAATATTAACATTTATTTTTTAAAAAAAATTAATTTATTTTTTTAAAATACAAATTAAAAAAACTCAATTTTAAATTTTCAACAATATTCTACATTTTAAAGGAATCGTGGGGCACCTGTTGTGGTCGAGTCACGAAGATAGTCTACAATGACATCCAAAATACAAACAATGGAGAAAGTGGGAGGTGGGGTCGGTGGAGTGGGGGGAGACCGAAATAGTCAAAAAGATATGCATAGATACACGTGGAAAGTATTCCCCAAATTGTACGTCCACTTTCCTATATATTGGCCTGCACCCTCCCCCTCCCTGCATCAGTTTTCACCCTTTCTTCCTCTATAATCTTCTTTCTTTTCTCACCAACCATGGCCTTGAAGAAAACTCTATCCATTGTTTTCAGCTTGCTTTTTATCACATATCTACTAAACCTTCCATCTATTGATGGAAGACAACTGATGAGTTATGATGCTAAGGTTAAAAGTAGTTACGTCTTTAACATTCCACCACCTCAAAACTCAAACAACACAAATATTGTTAATAAAAGTGATCCTCAACACAGCACTCCCCCAGCTCCTCGATCTAACACTCCCATTCACAATTAATATCTTATGCTTATAAAGGTATGTGTTCTCATTCTTTTTTTTTTCTTTTTCTTTTTTGCTTGTATCGGTTTTCTTTTGCACCTTTGCAATGGAGTCCTTTGTGTTCGTGTTGTGTCCATCTCAATCATTGAGTGTTATGATTTTTTATTGCAGGTCTATGCAGTTGATTGCAAAACTATGCTAGTTTTGCAAATGATCTTACTAATTTAGTAGTTTCTTTTTTATAAAAATGAAAATCTTAAATGATAAAACTCCCAAATTCATCCCTTTTTAGAGGTAATTATAGATCCGTCTCTTAAAAAAATCTAAAGATAAATTATTCTTTTAAATTTTTAATCAAAACAAATCATCATTTTCAAATATGTAATGTCAAAATTCTGTATGTCATGACGTTACATGTTAAAAAATAAGTGATTTATCTTGATAATTTAAAAGAGTAATTTACCTCTATATTTTTATTAGGGATAGATATATTTCTACTCTTTATTTAAGGGGTGGATTTGGGGTATGCCAATTTTAAATAATCGTGTGATATGCAATTTTAGAGTAAATTAAAAAATGGAGAAAGTTGCCTCCTATTGTGCAACTTAAAATGAATAAATAAAAAAATGCTGCTGGCCTTGTCTTTGATCAATTGTCGAATTGCATTAAGCTCCTGTAAATTTTGGCCATCCCCTTTTACTAACCCTGTCTTATGATTGATTGTTACTTTCTCCACCAAGGCAAGATTAAGGTCAAGAAGTTCAAAACTCGATGAGGGACCAAATTGAAACAAATATAAAGACTAAGGTCCGATAATGACATTTACCCTACATAAATCGGTCGAAGGATCAAAAGATATGGCACATCTGAAAATATCCCACTTTTTAAGACTTAATTGAAAGAAAAAACAAAAGAGTAAATATTAAATTTTGCAAAATATGCCCCCAAGAAAAATGGGGTTTGCAAAATTGACAGCCAGAAAATTTGTCCGTTACCATTTTATTGGGGTTTATTTTCCTGCACTAACAAAAGCGCCAAGGGTTTTAGACTTATGGTTCACTCTGTCTCTCTCTCTGCCTCTCTCTCTGCTGTCGCTTCTCTTTCCCCCATGGCCTTATTCTGCTAGCCTCTGCTTCTCTCGCAGTCCCACTCGTAGGTCTAAGGGGTCCCCAAAGACGGAATTTTTACAGGGTTGCCACCTGAAAGGACCGTCAAAACGGCTTCTTGTATCCTGAACACTAGCAGCAAGCTGAAAAGACTTGTGGAATTCATGGCTATGGGGGTCTCCAGCTCTCAAACCACCCCTTTTCGACCACTTTCTTCCTCTGCTTTCCCATTATCCTATTCATGGGTTTTTCATTCTGCCGCCTCTAGGTCCAACTCGGTGGCTTCCTCTAGAACCCTTTGCAGGTTCCTGTTTCTAATTCTTATTTGATTCTGCTGTTTTTTTTTTTCCCCTTCTTTATGTTTTTTGTGGGTTTTTTTTTGGAATTAGTTAATAACCATCAATTTATTGTTTACCCCCCTTTTTTTTTTTTTCATTTTTTGTTCTGCTGTATTTGTTATTTTGCTGGGTGTAGCTGGTTTTGGGGTTAAGCTCTAAAACGCTATTTTGTTTAATGTGGTATTTTGTTATCAGGATTTTGTGTTTATTTAGAACTTCAGCTATCTGGATGTTTGGATTATTGTGTTAAAAGCAGTTTCTTTGCTCTTGAATTTATGGGTTTCTTGTTGGCAACATATTTCTAATTAATTTTTCTTTTATGAATAAAAGTTGTGAGATGGGAGATAATTGAGAAACTGGAATATATGATTTAGTTGAGTAATACATTAGTTTTGAATAATTGAGTGCAGCTTATGTGCTGATGTTCTTAATAACCTAACATTTTTAGTGGCTTTAATTGGGTAAACTTTAGAACACTGTCAATGTGAATCTCCATAGGTAATATTGTGTTTGGTGCAAAGAATAAAAACTGTACATTGTGGGGTAAATTCTAGTTCTGTTGTTTTCTTTGTGATAGTAAATTCTATTTATAATTTTTCTGTGGTCTATATTTTTACTGGTCTTCTTGGGACATCTTCCAGGGCAAAACATTTCTTGCGACTTAAGACAGGTTCTTCTACCTTAGCTAAGATGGTTTACCATGGCACAGATGAAGATGTTTCTAATGCCATTCTAAAGAGAACAAGTAATAACCAGCGAAACAATGAACCCATGCTAGTTCATGCCAATTCTATGGCACCATCTTTTCTATTTCGGTGCGGGACTAGACCCAGTGCCTCTCCTGTTGCTCCTCAAACTACTATCCCCAATTCATGGATCAGTTTAACTCACAAGATGCAAGAGGATAAAAAGATATTTAGAGACACTTTACAAGATGGTACCAACAATCAAAGTCGTACTAGTATGTGGAAGACTAACCTGTCCATTAACTCAACTGATCAGAAAGCAGCAATTTCTGAAAAAGTTGAAGAAGGTAGTTTTATTTATGATAGGGATCATAAACACCTGCAAACCTGTACTAAACCAAGGCCTATGGAAAACAAACAAGTAGTTGTGAAGGAAATAAATGGTTTCAAGCAGCAAAAAGGTTCAACTACTTCAGAAATTTCTAGCAGTAAGTTCTTGTTAGAGAAGACTTTTGAGGAAAAGAAAGACGCAGGAGATGCAAGCACAGATGCTACTTGTAGGGACCAAAGTACTGATGAGACTATCATAGTCAGCATTGACAAGGCAAACCAGGACAATATTCTCAAGAATCTTAGCAACATTTATGGCCGAGTACTTGTTGTAGATAATATCTCCCTTGCAAAGAAGGTTGTTGGGATGCTTACAACCGAATACAGACATCTTGTTCATGCATGTGATACTGAGGTACATATTCTACAGTTTTCTTGTATATGTGCATTCAATAAGAATGTATGCATTTTGCCTGCTTCTTGCATTGAGTCTAAGCAGAGTGGAGTTTTGCTTATTTTCTGGTGACTGCAGGTATCAAGGATTGATGTGAAGCAAGAGACACCTGTTGATCATGGAGAGATAATATGCTTCAGTATTTATTCTGGAAAAGATGCAGATTTTGGAAATGGCAAGTCCTGTATCTGGGTAGATGTTCTTGATGGCGGTGGCCGGGATCTTCTGGTTGAATTTGCTCCTTTTTTTGAAGATCCTTCAATAAAAAAGGCAAGTTATCTTTTGTTCCCTTTCTAACTTCTAACAGCCTCTATTCTCTTTGTTGTGTTTTTGATCTTCTGTATCTTTTGATTTGCTAATTAATACATAGTCTATTAGATGTAGAGCAAGGGAGGAATGAAAATAGGGAGAGAATTAAGCAGAAGGTAATGGGAAAGTGGTGGAAAATTAAGGGGAAAGGTAATGAGAACTAAAATAATTAGGAGAGAACCAGGGAGAATAATGGGGGAGAAATTTCTATTTCTATTAATCAAAACATGCCTAAACCTAATGCATAATAATATTTATTTGGACTCTAAAACCTTAATATGACTCCTAATGGGAGTCTTAATAAAAGACAGAAAGTTGACCCCTAAATGATATAAATAGTTCTTCCAAGGATTCATTTTTGACTGCATTGCTATTGTTTCTTAGGTCAATAGATGCTCCTTAAGCCAAACTTGTCCTGTCCTTCCCCATCAATAGGCTGAAGTGTGCTTGTATGTGAGCTGGGACATCAAAGTAGTTCCTAATTGTTGAGCTAATATCATATCATAATTTGATTTATCCTACTTATAATTATGATGAATGTCTTGAACAAGTTTGAATGATAAGTTTTTTGTTTCTTGAAGAGACTTAAGTGCTTATTCTAGAAAAATGATGTTGAAATATTCACCTGGGCTTGTTATAGGTTTGGCACAATTATAGCTTTGACTGCCATGTTATCGAGAACTATGGTCTTAAGGTTTCTGGATTTCATGCTGACACAATGCATATGGCACGTTTGTGGGATTCATCAAGACGAATAGAGGGTGGGTATTCTCTTGAAGCACTTACAAGTGATTACAGGGTAATGTCTAGAGGTAACTCGTGGAAACATAACTTGCAGAAAGAAGGATTGATTGGTAAAAGATCAATGAAAACTATCTTTGGAAAGAAAAAGGTGAAAAAGGATGGATCAGAAGGTAAAATTGTCACCATTCCTCCTGTGGAAGAGCTACAACAAGGAGAAGAACGCAAATCCTGGATATCTTATTCTGCCTTAGATGCAATAAGTACACTAAATCTTTATGAGAGCTTAAAGTACAAGCTACTTAGAATGCATTGGCAATTTGAAAGAGCAGTTCCTCAGGAAAGCATGTTTGACTTCTATCAAGAATACTGGCGACCATTTGGTGAGCTTCTAGTTAGAATGGAAGCTGAGGGAATGCTGGTTGATCGTGCATATCTTGCTCAGTTAGAGAAGGTGGCTAAAGCAGAGCAAGAGATCGCTGTTAATAGATTTCGCACCTGGGCATCCAAGTATTGCCCTGATGCCAAGTATATGAATGTGGGAAGTGATGCCCAGCTGCGCCAGCTCTTGTTTGGTGGCACCACTAACAGGTAACTATGAATAAATTTCTTCTTTGAGTAACAATTTTTAGAATGTAGAGAATTACTATTGAAACTTCTTAAACGACATGAACAAGTAACTACATACCTCCCCTCTACTGTGTGTGTGTTTTGATTATCTTTATATTCTTGCTCCACTTTATAAATTGGATGGCTGTGGCATTAGAGGTTTACCATTTGGGGCTCTCATTGTTTCCCTTTCCCTTTGTGGGGAAGTCTATTTATCCTTTCTTTCTGTGCTGAAATTATGGTTGGTATTCATTTGGAAATTTCATTGCTGGTTGCATGAGAGCTACTTTCAACTCTAAATACAGAATTTCAATTTCAATATGACTATTTTTTGCTGCAGTTTAAATAAAAGTAGTCACTATGATAGGAAAACCAACTCCAGTGTCACTCGAGGAGATGGAGTGATAGAGGAAAATTAGAGTGTTGGTCACCTGCTTCTAACCCTCTGTTCACATAGGAAAGGACACACAATCATAATATATCATTCAAGGTTTGGGGTGTTTTGTTGGGTAGAAATCCTTTGTATCTGACCAATCTGTTTCTTGTTACAGAAAGGATCCCAATCAGAGTCTTGATGATGAGAGAATATTCAAAGTTCCCAATGTTGATAAAGTGATTGAAGAAGGCAAAAAGTCCCCCACAAAGTATCGCAGTATCAAGTTGTGTAGCCTTGGTTATGTACTACCTGCTGAGAAGTTTACTGCCAGTGGTTTGCCCTCAGTTAGTGGCGATGCTTTGAAGATCCTAGCTGGAAAGGTTTCTGTAGAGTACAATTTTGCAGATGATGCCTGTGATGAAGCTTCAAATGCAGAAGGGCCACCTATTGATGACGTCAACACATCTGATTATGGCACAGCTTATGAAGCATTCAGAGGAGGAGAAAAAGGGAAGCAGGCATGCCATGCTATTGCTTCATTATGTGAAGTTTGCTCCATTGACTCTTTAATATCCAATTTCATTCTCCCATTGCAGGTGATTTCTGATGCCATGTTTAACTGGTCATGCATATTATTTATGTGTCTCTTTAGGTTGTCCTGCATTATTATGTTTGTCTCACTTCAGCAAGGCATTGCCCAAGAGATTATTTGTTCTAATTTTCTATCAAAAAATGAGAAACACACTTAACTGTTTTATAATCATGGTGCTCTCAGTGTCTAATAATATTATTGTAATGGTGAAGCATCATTTGCACAATATTTTCTTTATCCATTACAAACCTTTGCTCAAAAAGGACATCATAAGCTGGTTTCAAACTCAGATTTTGTTTGTGCCTGCATGTACTTAGGTTGACTTTGTTGAATATCCATGAATTGGTAAGATTACATTAAATTTGATGATAAACCAAAACCCAGGTCTGAAATCATAATGAAATGTTGGTATATGCCTTGAGATCTTATACCTGCACTATCTGAACTTGTTTCAATGATTGGAAATTACAAGACAATGAAGCAATGCATCCTTTAGTGTTATTTATTATATTCTGTTGTCATTAAATACTATCTGTTATGTATTTTCCATTTTGATGCTTTAACATAGAAAGAACTCAAGTCATGATAGAGAAATAAAAATTTATTGTGAACCAGTGAAACTCTTTATCCCACAGGACTAACTGGCATCTGTTGGGACAGAGTTGTTGGGCTGGTTCAATAGAATATAGAGAATAATTGCATGCATGCATATGGGTGTATGTGCAAACTGTTGGCCATTCCCAAAAGTTGTTAACTTACCTGAGGTTCTTGATTTAGTTTCCACTTCAACCATGGTGATAATATTGATTTCCTTCCACCCCAGGGGAGTAACGTCTCTGGCAAGAATGGGCGTATCCATTGCTCATTGAATATAAACACAGAAACTGGGCGCTTGTCTGCTAGGAGGCCAAATTTGCAGGTTTGTTTTTCTTTTCAAAATTCTCCTTGTTCACTCTTTGTCTGAGTGTTTACATAATTATAATGTTAAGGTTCTTTAAACATTTCTAATTCCATGTTGCATGGATGGCAAAGAGCAAATGGTTATTATTTGTTAATTGTTATTTAGCAAGTCATTTTGATGTTGATTAGACATATCTTTAAACATCCATAAGCCTGGGCTGAAAGGTAAAGCCCATTAGATAACATTTGCATACACTGAAAATCAAATCTTTTCAGATGCTTTTTTTTTTCCAGTGGTGAAACTCCAGAAACACAGTTATTTCCTACTTAAAAATATAATGCTGGAGATTGTACAAAAGCTATTTTATATCTTCTAGCTGTAGAGATACCTCAAATAGATTAGATTACACTATGGATTTAGACAACATTACTCCCTTCCCTTAGTCCCCCACCAACATGTGGGAGCTTTATGATACTAATGTTCTTGATATCCCTAAATCAGAACCAACCTGCCCTAGAGAAGGACAGGTATAAAATCCGTCAGGCATTCATAGCTGCTCCTGGGAATTCTCTTATCGTAGCTGATTATGGTCAGGTAAGTTGATTGAATTGTCTTCCTTTTTGTGGAATTTCATGTGTTTATTTACATATTTACATTATATGTATCTCAGCTGGAATTAAGGATTCTTGCACATCTTGCCAACTGTGAAAGCATGTTGAATGCCTTCAAAGCGGGTGGAGATTTTCATTCAAGGACTGCAATGAATATGTACCCACATATCCGTGAAGCCATTAAGAATAAGCAAGTTCTTCTTGAGTGGCATCCTCAACCTGGTGAAGATAAACCACCAGTTCCACTTTTAAAGGTATATCAAAAATTCCTAACCAAATTTACCATTGTAGTTGGGATAAAATGTACAGATCATAGATTTAATTGCAACTGTTATTTATTAACCATAGATGGAATTTCCTGACTCAGGATGCTTTTGCTTCTGAAAGGAGAAAGGCTAAAATGCTTAACTTTTCTATTGCATATGGAAAAACTTCAGTGGGCCTCTCCAGGGATTGGAAGGTACTGTTCAAACCTTTAAGACTGAGTAGTGGATACCATTGATTTGAATGAAAATATATTGATCCATCAGGCATGATGGTTGTCATCTTTTATCTTTTATTCCCAGGTTACTGTGGAAGAAGCCAAGGAAACAGTTGATCTCTGGTATAAAGATAGGCCAGAAGTGCTTAAGTGGCAGGATCAACGTAAATATGAAGCTGAAACGAAAGGATGTGTTTACACATTGCTGGGACGGGCTCGCCGTTTCCCATCGTTTGCCAGTGCCACAAATCCTCAAAAAGGTCATATGAGACGGGCTGCTATCAATACCCCTGTTCAGGTTCTCCTTTGTCATGCATTTAACTCTGCTATCAATACCCCTGTTTGGGTTCTCCTTTGTAATGTGTCTAAGTAATAATTGCAGGGAAGTGCTGCTGATGTTGCCATGTGTGCCATGTTAGAAATATCAAAGAATGCACGTCTGCAGGAGCTTGGTTGGAGGCTTATTTTACAGGTTTATTCTGTCTTCTATCTATTTCAGGCTTTTGGGTACTGTCAATCTAGCTTGATTTTTGGTTACTAGCCAACCAATGCTTTTCATGGATTTTTCCTTGTGTCTAAGCGATGGACTTTTCCCAGCACCTGTCAGATGAGTTTTTGCTAGAGTCCTAAACCATTTTTTCTAGACTGCTTTAAGCTATTTTCTGTCTTTCTATGGCCTAAAAAAAATTATTTTCTTCCTCTGTTGCACCCACCCTTCACAATCTTGTTGCATTTTTAGTGGAATTGTCATTGCATGCAAGCTTGTAAAATTTAAGTTTTTTGGCGGCATGTGTCTTAGTCCTTTATGTATATATGAAACTCTTCTGAGTCTGCAAAGAATGAATCAGAGCCATAAGCTACGAAACTGCCCTGGTATATTGGATAAATTCCATCCTGAACTAGTATTTCTTGAAAGCAGGTTCACGATGAAGTGATCTTGGAAGGACCAACTGAGTCAGCTGAGGAAGCCAAGGCAATAGTCGTTGAGTGCATGTCAAAACCCTTCAATGGCAAGAACATACTTAATGTTGACCTTGCGGTTGATGCCAAGTGTGCTCAAAACTGGTATGCTGCAAAGTAGACGGTGGGATCTGGCAGTAGCTGACATCAATTTTGGCATCCTACACTAACCTGCGGTGGTGAGATTATTTTGTGCCTTGATGAGGTAGCTCAGTGCCTAGACCATCCAGAGTTCTTTGCTGGTTTCGGCAGTCGGTTTGATTTCTTGAAAGGTTTTTGCAGTAGGGATCAGTATGGTTGAGCTGATGTGGTGTTGACTGATGACATTAGCTCCAGCAATTCTTACTGAAGGATGGATATGGGTGGGGTAAACTGACGCTTTGCTAGCATTGTTTATGTGCGAGAATCGCACCGGGTGTACAGTGAATTTGTTGATTAATGGTTCATTGTAAGAAATCCTAGACTGCTACTTTTAACAAGGATGGAAAGACACGGCTTAACTGGATTATAACTGATATAAAATGCGTCCAATTCTGGTGTTGTTCAGAAAGGTGTTACGTTGATAAAAGTAACAGGAAATATGCATTGTCAAAGGAGTTTGGCACAATCTTACATATAACAGAAAATTATGATAGAAGAACAGATATGTTGGCATTGCCAACTTGAATCAATCAACACTATGCAAAAGTTTGTTTTTCCTTTTTCACTTGACATTCAATTCATTTGAAGTATATATATCAACAAGAAACCAGAACAAAAAGTTGGCATGCACAATACAGAATACAAGAACCATGGAAACTACTTCGCAAACTGTTGAACTTCAATACCCCAGGTGGATGCTAACTGCATCAGGAGTTGGTCAGGTGTAGCACCTTCCCAATCCTCGGCAGAGTCCATTGCTGAAGAAACCTCGTGCAAATTCAATAGAAGATCCTTCTTCAACTCCATGGGAATGTTCAACACATCAGGTCCATTTTCCAGGACAACTTCTACAAGCTGAGAAGTGAGGACAAATAAAAATTCAATGACTAATTAGGATGTCATTTTAGTACCAGATTACCAGGATTAAATAAAAATATATTAGAGAATGTTTCACAGCCAACCCACTGCATTCTAGCCCTTTGCTACAAAGTACTAAGCGAAAGGCCAAAATTGAGTTTCTGATTTGAACCACTGATATGAAACTACTCAAGTCACATAACTTCCAATAAACCAATTTCAGAGCCGTGAATGATACTGTTCAAATCAAGCAGCTTGTACTAAAATCAACAACTGAGCAGTATACATACCTGTTGAATCCACAATAGGCATATGTCAAACAACTCCTGTTCCAGCATAAGCTGAACAACAGCATGTAAGACCTCATTCGCTATCTCATTTGAGAGTTGATCCAACACAGGACCTGATCTGTCCATTAGCTTCACTAGTAAGAGATCATCTCCAGTAGATGCAACTTCAGCATAAGCTGAATCCATATCACCCACTTGAAGGGCATGCATTGCATTGCTCCAAGACGTCCAGATTGGATCCCTCTCCTGCCTGATATTATCATCTCCAATGGCTTCAGCAGTTAATTCAGGGACACGTACCCTCCGTGCTGTTCCACCATCCTCCCCAGCCACTCGAATTGCTTCTAAAGTGGCTTCATCTTTTGAAGCCTGCCAAACACTTCTGGCAGAAGGCCCCTCACCAAGCCTAACGGGTCCAGGTCCCTTGTCCCAACCTCTCCTGCTGCCAACCTGATCAGTTTCATGGTCTGATTTAGGTGATCTATCATCAAGAGTGCTTCCACCAGGAGCCCTTCTGGAGGCAGGCTGCCCATTTCTAGAAGCACCATATGCAGGAAAATCCCAATCATCTGACATGTCTGTTCTCCAAGGGGGACCCCTTCCCCTCATACTTGGAGCAATACCATCAGAGTGGGAAAATCTTTCTCCAAATGGAATCCGCCCACCATACTTAGCACCACCACCATAGTCAGCAAAGCCATTATACTTCCCCAAAGGTCTATTAGAGGAACCTTCAAACCCCATTGTAAAAGTACTTCTCCTGCCTGATGAAACTGACAAGTCACGTGCCATGTCTTCAACAATTCTCTCAAGACCCCTAACCCTGTTCTCTAAAGTTATCATGCTATCATGAGAACCACCCATGAAATCCTGCAATATGATAAGTATTTTGTAAATTAGAAATACACTGAGTGGAATCATTTTCTAAACACAGATTTTGAGAAGAACCTGCAACATGTTCATTAGATGTTCTTGTTGTCTCTCCATCTGTAACAACTGCCTCTGAATGGCCAACCAGTTTCCTTTGTTGCTGATGAAGGATCCTTCAGATTGTCCATCTGTTTTGGGGAAACACAAACGATTTCCAGATGATTCCCTTTGACTTGCATCAATCCTATCATTTGGATCTTTCCCATTTGTTTTGTCTTCAGGCCATTTATCCCGCAAACCAGCAGTTCCTCTCTCCATGTTACGATACCTGCTGCTGGAAGATCCCTGAAGATCCTCTGACTGGATGTTTCCCATGCCACTTGACCTTCTCCTTGAGTCTGAATCATTAGTTTGCAATTCTTCTTCATTCTTTGCATTTGAAGAATTAAGGTATCGACGAGGAACAACTACCTCAACTGGCAAATCACCAGAACCCCGTGTCTCAAGCTTCTGGAAGAATTCTGGATTCAGCTCTTTGTCAGTTAATGCAGGTGCTTTCTTCTTCAAAATGATGACTGCTTTGTCAGGAATGCTTCCACCCTTGCCTTTGGAAGCAGCATCTAAAGTGGAGGATGAACCATCAGGTGAATTCTTTGCTGATGGATCAGTTTTTGCGTCACTAGGATTTGAATTTTTCATGTCATTCTTTGCCAACATCTCAGCTGGTTGAGGATTGTCACCATCTAAAGCAACAGTTGAAAATATTCAGTGGTATCATTGGCCCAAAAAAAAAAAGGCATTTGAATTATCATTTAGATAAGCATATAACCAACATGCTAACCATGTGACAAGGCCTTCTGATCATCTGCAGATCCATCACCTTTCCCAGCAACTTTCTTCCATAACTGTAATGCCTCTGTCATGCTATCTCTAACAGGCTTTATCTGCTCAACGAATGTCCAAATTCATTTACACAATTGATCTTCTAAAAGGCAATAATACATAAAATGACTGATCTCAAGTACTGTAGAATTATACATTTCCATCTTTTATTTACAATCATAAGAGATGGAACCAAGTAGATAAACTCTTCAAGACTTCACTTGCAGGACAACAATAAATGAATTAGTTGGGTTTGTAATGGATCCTCTTTAAGTAGATATAATCTCTCTCTTACTACACCCTAAAACTTAATCCCACAACATCTCCAGCATCCAACAATCTCTCCTGTTAGAGCTTTTATAATAAATTGTTCCAGTCCCATGTCAGAGACCTCATTAAAATAACAAAAATGAGATGATAATCAGAGTTTAGAAAGTACAAAAATAAGACCCCTATACAAAAATAAATAAATGACAGCTAAAAGCCACCTTGTCAAAGCGGCAACCCTCAAGCACCGCTATTGTGGAGGCAGTTCCATCCGCAATCAAGTTGCTTGAATGCAAAGCTAAGGCACTTAAAGCATCAGCTGCTGCCTTCCGTGTTGCCCAATCTGAACTGCCAAGACATTCATGGATGCTTTGCAGCAATGATTCCAAGCTTTGTGGTGCAATTGCTCCTACCTGCCAAAAGTATGTCCTTTTAGTTTCTTAATTTTGGTTTTGTGCAATTGCTCCTACTACTAGCAGTTGGGCTAGATCTTCTCAAATTAAATTAGTTGTGAGTTGCATAATGGCTCAGAAACCATAGTTACAATTCCAATCAAGAAACAAGCACATTGTTTCAAACCTGCGCCAAACTCGCCACCACTGGCAATAGTGCAGCCTTACACATAAAATTCTGATTGTTCAGCAACTTGCAAATCCTCGGGCACAACTTCTGGAATGAAGCTTGAGGTGGCTCAGCCGCGCATTCCACCATCTTAGCCATACACATTGCTGCTCCAGATTGTACGCTTTTGTTTTGCTCCCCCATTGCCTCAAACAACGGTTTCACAAACAACCCCACCACAGTACCCCCACTCTCCCCCTTCAAATACTGCCCGGAGAGTGCACCTATAGCATCACGACACGCATCCTTAACCCCAGAATCTGCATCTTTTAGCCTTCTAACAATGTGAGCAATAATTTTCGTCAAGTGGGATGCTGCCAATTCACCATGGCAATGACACAGCATCGTTAGCGACCGCAGGGATTCCTTTTTAACGGCAGGCTTCGGATCGTTAGAGGAGTCGAAAAGGCAGTTAAGAAGCATGGGAAGCGAGTCTGGGGAAAGACTCTGGATAATCTTCTCCAGATCTTCCACGGCGACTTGCTGGGTATCCCGATCCGATAGCTTGGAAAGGGAAGTCAAAATGCGCTGCTTCAGTTCTACCATGGCGAGATGAGAAGAAAGAGACGAGGGTTTTGCCGGGGTCGAGGAGGAAGACGAAATGGCGCTAGCGGGCTTTGTGGGTTTTGAAGATTTAGGTGCCTGTGTACTACTCATTGTGAGAAAAACGAAGAAGAAAGATGGGATTTTTTTACCGGATATGAGCTCAGAGAAGGAAATGGAGAAATGGGGTTGTTCTACTGAGTGAAAAAGAGATGGGATTTTGCAGCCATTACAGAAAAACCATGACAAAATGCAGATTTCAGAGGAAATACCCAAATTTGATATTTGCAAAGAAAGGTGATTTTAGGTGATTTAGGTGAGGTTGCAGACATGGAGCGGGTGAGATCTGTGAGAGAAACACAACACCAAAAATAATCAAAATTAAAATATTAAAAAAATAGGAGGGATTTTTTCAAATTTTATGTTGTGTCAAACAATCTGACTAATAAAAGTAAAAAAAGAAAAAGAAAAGAAAAGAAAAGAAAGAGGGAAAGAAAAGCTCTGTCAGGTTTAAGATCAAGAATCAATTACAAAATATTTAGAATTTTGAGAAAAATATATTCATGTTAATTTTTGGAAAAAGCCTCTGGCATAATTAAAGTATTTTTAGATATTTTATGTGTAAAGATTTTGGAGATTAGAGTAAAATTAAATATAAGGGACATAGTTTAACTTAGAAAAAAGAAATATTGGTTGGTTTTAAAAGTTAAAAATAATAGTTAATTTAAAATAATTTTTTAAATTAGGAAATAATTGTTTATTTTACTAAGTATTTGTTAAACTTTTCTTTTATCTTAATACACAAGAAAATGTGATAACTAAAGACAGATAGAAGTAGTAATTGTAGTATCGCTAATATAAACACTAAGACAAGGATTTGTTGGTATCATTCTTCAATCTTAAAATTTTTTTTATTGATTAAATCTGAATTTTTTTTTCATCTTTAATTTAAATTCTAGTCTTTCATGATATTTGAATTTTATCTGCAAGAAATGGAAAACATAATTCTTTTAGAAATTTTATCTATAGCAAATGGAGAACACAATTGTTTTAGAAGTATCTCCCTTTTTAGCATATAATTCTTTGTTAGCAATTTGTTTCTTTTAACTCATACTTTGCAAGGTTAACAAATTTTAGTGTGCTCCAATATCTTCATGAAAAATGTTAGTACTTTCATGGTATGAGAGGAGTTTTAAAATTATCAATCTAACAAATGTTAACTACCAAATCCAGTTAATTATAATAGTCATAATCATGATATAAGTATTTTCATGAGGCATATGGAACCAGCTAAACATTGTGAAGTTTAAAAAACGTGAAAATTTTCTTTTGGACACACTTTACATTGTTGTTTATTTTTGTTTTAACTAATACGGCCTCAAATCTCAAGAACTTGTATATTGTCTGCGTGTTTTTTTTTTTTTTTTTTTAAATATATATGCTTATAATTAAAATGCTTCAAATTTCGCAAAATTTTTTTGAGAAGAGTAGGCTTGTGCTTAATCCCTCTTTAATTTTGGAAAAATTTTCTCATGCTCATAGCACCATTTTTTCATCCAAAATTCTTAACAACCATTTTATGTTTAAGATTCTAGCACTTGCAGTAAAAAACAAAAAAATAAAAAGTCTAACAAAAAAATGCACAAAATGCAATTAAAAAATATAATTACTCTATTAACCACATTTGGTGTATTTATTACATATTTTTATTATTTATTTATAAAAATAAAAATAAAAATTAACTTTAATTTTATCAACTATTTAATTAAATAATTATACATGACATTAATATTAAAATTAAAATTTACTTTTTTTTTATTTTTATTTAAATTAATAATATAAATATGCAACAAATATACTTTTAATTTGTGTTATACATATGCTAAAAAAATTCTTGCCGTTTGGTTTAAATTGAAAGAAATAAATAGAAAGAAAAAATTTCCCTAGATATTAAAAATCCTTCTATACCCTTCTTATCAAGAAAGTTAATACATTTCATACCAGCGGTACGGCTTGTATGTATCATCAGGTTTTTTTATTAATTTAAAATGGTATAAATTTTAATTCTGTTTTGGTCAAATCTCAATGTACCTACTAAGATTTTGCATATTGATTGGTACACCAAAATTAAACGAGTGCAAAAAAGGACAAATCAGCCCCTATACTCAA